GTGGGCTTGGACGCAGAAGCCGAGGCCGTCCATCCGGAGAGGGACCGGGCAGAGCCCTGGAGACCCGCTCTGAGCTCAGGTTTCCCCGCAGCGCCCCTGTCCCCAGCGGGACTGGCAGTGCTCCTGGGTGCCTTCAGCCTGCCGCTTTCCCTCTCCCTCCCCTCGAGGACCCCTATCTGCCCTCCCTCTGGGCCCAAGTGAGCACAGCTCCACTTTAGGAAAAAGCTGGACTCAGACTTAATCAGAGAGAAAGACGTCAAACCCCTGTGCAGCCCGCAGCCCGCTGCCCTCCTCAGTCCCGGTCCCGCCCCTCGCTGCGGCGCTGGGCTCTCGGGGAGCTCGTTCCCGCGGGCCAAGGGCTCTGAGATCGGGCTGCCGCGCTTCCTGTCCCCTAAGGCACATTCCTGCGGAAGTCCACATGGCTTATTCCTTCCTCTTCAGATTCTGTCGTCCGCGGAGACCACCGGACCACTCTATTCAAAATCATAGCCAAAAAAAAAAAAAAAAAAAAAAAAAAAAACCTCTACACCGACACGGGGGGCCCAGCCATCCTAGCACTCTGGGAGGCTGAGGCAGATGGATCGCAAGTTCCAACCCAGCCTGCACAATTTAGCTATTTAAACTTTGTCTTAAAATAGAAAATGGGCTGGAGATGCAGCTCAGTTCGTAAGCCCTGGGTTCAATCACAGCTTCTTACCCCACGGTGGCCTGTCCCTTCTCATACGTTATATAATTTGGAGTGTTACTGCCATCTGACCTCTTCTTTTCTTATTTTTGTTTCTCTCTCTCCCTGCCCAGTTTATCTGCTCCACTGGGACATCCAGGGTATCCCAAGGAGGGATCTGTTGGTTTTATTCACTCCTAATAGAAAGCAAGGGCCTGCTGGGCTTGGTGGCATACACTCATGATCCCAGGACTGGGCAGGCTGAGGCAGGAGGATTGCCGCAAGTTCAAGACCAGACTGGAATAATGCATAGTGAGTTCAAAACCAGCCTGAACTACATGGTGAGAGCCTGTCTCAAAATACAAAAAAGAAAGAAAGAGGGCCGGGGATTTAGCTCAATGGTTCGGTGGCCTGCCTTGCAAGCACAAGGACCCGAGTTCAATCCCAGGTACAAAAAAAAAAAAAAAAGAAAGAAAGAAAGAAACCAGGACTAGATGCGTTGGTGCACAATTGTAATCCCAGCACTCAGGAGGCTAAGGCAGGAGGATCACCTTGGGTTTGAGGCCTGGGTTGCATAGTGAGTTCAAGGCTAGACTGAACTACCCAGCATGACCCTGTCTCACAAAATTTTAAAAGCAAAAAACAAAAACGAAACAAAAAACTCCTAAGGCTCCTCCAGGGAGACAGAAGAATTTCTTGAGCAGGGCCTTGGGGATTGTTTCTGCTCCGCTCCATACCACCCGGCCTAGGTAGCTGGCCAGGCCTTCTCCCATGCAGGCTCCAGCACTGAGGAGGTAGAAGTTGCAGGTAAACAGGGCCTGGAGGTAAACAGGGCCATGGAAACCAGGGTCCTGCTTTTTGCAGGGGCAAAGGTCTTGGGCTGGGCTGGGAGTGCTGGCTGAGGGCCCCACTGGTGCTGTGCTGGTGCAGCCCTGGAGGAAGTTCCAGCAGCCCAGGCAGTTTCTGGTGGACTGCAGGCTGCCTCAGTTTCTTGGTTAGTGGGTGTGGCTTTGGAGAGAAGAGGGTGTCAGGAATGGAGATCACATTATTTTGGCCAGAGTGAAGGCCCATGAATGCCAGGGCTGGCTGAATGATGTGAGCTATGTTAGGCCTTCATTCCCAGCCCTTTTTTATTTTTTATGTTGAGACAATGTCTTGATAAATTGCTAAATTGTCCAGGTTGGGCTCAAACTTGAGATCCTCCTGCCTCAGCCTCCCAAAGCACCCATGTTCACCATGGAGCCCAGCTGAGCTCTGACTCATTGCCTGGGGAAGGTCACTCTACTACCTCTCCTGTACATGGAAGGGGGTGACCTCTGTGGTCTGTGTATGACTCAGCTCCTAGGGCTGCGGTGAAGATGGGCTGAGAACAGCCAGACAAACACGCAGGTGCTCAGAGAGATAGTATGGAGACAGTGGCTGTGACCTGACCAACGTCACTGTGCAGGGTGAGGAGGCCCTGAGTGAGTCCTTTCCTCCCCAGGGTGCCCTGCGCCTGGGCTGCATCCCGGGCTAGGGGCTGGGCTGAGGCAGAGGCTTGTTTGGAGCCTGGCAGGCTGACCCGGGGCCAAACTTCAGGGCCTCTGCAAATAAGACTTTGGCTCTGGCAGAGAGCATGCCAGTTGACTGTGAGCTCGGCTGCTGCCTGGAAACTCAGCCATGGACAAATGAGCCCACTGAGAAACGGGTGAAGGGAACCATGGTCATGGTGACTACTGTCTCACTCCAACCAGAGTGGCTGTGATCAGAGACATGATAACAAGCGTCCTATGGGACATGGAGTAAATGGAACCCTGGGCCTAGGTTGGTGGGAGCGTAAATCAGTACAGCCACCACAGGAAACATCCTGAGGTTCCTCTTAAAGCTAAAAAAGCTACAGTGTGATCCTGGAATCTCTCTCCTGGGTATATATCCAGTGGAGGGGAAATTGGGATGCCAGAGAGATATCTGCACACTCATCTACTGCACCACTAGTCATAGCAGCCAAGCATATGATGACTAGATAAAGAAAATGTGGTATGCAAATACAAAGGAATATTATACAGCCGTAAAAAGGATAGAGTCTGTCTGTCTTTCGGGACAACACTAATGGCACTGGAGGACATCATGTTAAATGAAGTCATCCTGGCACAGAAAGACAAATACTACATAATCTCATCTATTGAATCTAAAAAAGTTGATCTTGAAGAAGTTGAGAATAGCGGTTATCAAAGATTGGGGAGACTAAGGGGGTAGAGAGGTGTTGGCCAACGGGTAGTGAGTTACAATTAGATGGGAGAAATAAGTAAGGTGACTATAGTTATACTGTCCACTTAAAAAAGCTACAGTGGGCCAGGCATGGTGAAACACGCCTCTTATCCCAGCACATGAAAGGCTGAGGCAGGAAGATCGCTTCAGATTTGAGCCCACCCTGGGCAATTTAGCCACTCAGCAAGACTGTCCAAATAAAAAAATAAATAAAAAAGGGCTGGGTATGTAGCTCAGTGGGAAGGACCTAGGTGCCATTTTATGGATGAGTTTTTAAAAAGCAAAAGAACATAGAAAAGTATGGTAAAGGATCTGAACAGGGCATGAGAGACAAAGAAGAAATGCAATGGCCAGTAAACACATGCTCGGCACCACGAGTCATCAGGGAGACACAAATCCAGATCACAGAGAACTAACACTGCACACCTGCTTGGATGGCTCCACTCAGAACCATCGACAAGCTGGCTGTGGTGGCGCACGCCTGTAATCCCAGCGCTCGGGAGGCTGAGGCAGGAGGATCGCTGTGAGTTCGAGACCAGCCTGGGCTCCATAGTGAGTTTCAGGTCAGTCTCAACTATGTAGTGAGACCCTGGCTCAAAAAACCAGTATGGAAGTTGGTCCAAAGGTTGAACATTTCCCACAGGACTTAGCAATTCCACTGTAGGTATTTATCTAAGGGAACAAACTTGTACACAAATATCACCTGCCCAATGGCCCAAAGAGCAAACGCCCTAAATGTCCGTTAGTGGGATGTAATAACAACGTGGTATATCCACATCATGGAATATTACTCACCCATGAAAGAGAATGACAGATGTGTGCTGCACCATGGATGAACCAGGCAAACATTACAATAAGTGAAAGAGGCCAGACACAAAGAACTACCTCTTGTGTGGCTCTATCTATAAAAGATACCCACTATAGGAAAATCTGTAGAGACAAGCAGATCAGTGATTGCCAGGGCCTGGGGAGGGTTCTGGAGGAATCAGGGGCAACTGCTGAGGGACACAGGGCGTGTGTGTGTGTGTGTGTGTGTGTGTGTGTGCACGTGTGTGTGTGTTCTACAACGGATGGTGCTCATGGTTGTATAACTGAAGGCACTAAATCTCTGGGTTGTGCACTTTGAATGCATGAACTGTGCAGTATATAAATTACACCTCAATAAAGCTGTTAACTAAAAACCACGGTTCTACCAGGGCTGAGGCGCTATGCCCATGTGGGTGTC